CAAGTGGCTGTACCATTACTGGAGATATACACCCCTGGAGGGACACATTCTAACAGTTTTTATTCAAGTTTCTGCTGCTTCTCTGAGCGGCAACAGGTTTTATTCAGGTTTCTGCTGCTTTCCTCAGCAGGATCATTGGCCTAAACTCGCTGTGAGTTATCCCAAAGAACATACGGGAAGCAGTATTGCATTGTGGGTAGGGAGCACAATTTAACCGGAATATGACAAGTTCACATCCTGGCCAAGGATCTGCTGTTGTTACTCGAATGAGGCACAGCGCATGGAAAATGGCTATCTATACAAATGATTTGTATGTCAAATGTAAACAGTGTTTATGAATGGTTAACTTAAATGTATAGGACTTTTATCACTGTCTGTTTTCTGTGCCAGATCCCTTGTGGGAATGCTGTTCCAGCACAGTTCACCCCCCTTCAGGCACACATTAACAGTACTGTCCATGCAGTATAGACCCTTTACCCCCCCTTATTATCTGTCCGGTGCTTGCTGTTCTGATCCCTTTATGCCTGTTGACTAGTGGATTGTCCTGGGTCACTTCCCTATTGAAACATTTTCATTTGAAACAGGATTAAGCAGCATGTGGGAAGTTGAGGAGGGGAGAAAGACTGTGACTGGATTTAAGCAATGTGGAGTGCGATCTCTCTTCTCTCCCTTAGAAGAGGGAGACAGTCAGTTTGATTTTTTCTTTGTTAATATATTTACTGTTTTAGCAGCGCAAGTTCGCTTGTCATTAAAATAAGGCAAATTTGAATTTCAAAGAGACATTCAGAGATAAACTGCTGTAAAACCCGCATGTATAAATAGAAAAAACATAGTCAAACAAAAAAGCGAAACCAAACACAAGTCAGAGTAGTGAAATTTAACATGACTGTCAGACCAAAGAACCTCGCATTTGATCACTCGCTGATTGATGAACTTCATAAATTATTATTTTGGAATGTTCACGTTCCCATAGGGAAGGATGCAATTGGACAGTTTAAAATGAGGTCAAAAGCCAAGAGGATGCTCACATGACACACTGCTTTTCTGATTGGCTGGCGTCATTGCTCAGGATTCCAGAGCGGGACAAAGGTACAGCAGGAAGGGGCTTCCATTGTGTTTTGGCATCAGAAGCTTTGGCCCCAGCGGTGTTGCTAGTGTGTCATATCAAATAGACCTTAGGGGGCCACTGATAGCTTCATACAGTAAGAGTTTTTCATCTGACTCCTCTCTGCTTCCAACTCGAATTCAGAGCCACAAAATGAATTATGATTCAAAACATAATAATAAGCTGTGCTTCACCCAGGCCCTGTTGTGGGTGGAGTGTTTCACTGTTTAGTCTGTAATTATTTTTGTGTAATTTCTATTGTAAAGGACCCTTTAGCACATGTGTGGAAAGTGCTATGCGGTGTTGGAGCCAGTGTGTGTTAAAGGGGTGTGTGTGTGTGTGTGTGTGTGTGTGTGTGCGTGGTTATGAGTGCACATGTATCCGGCCTCGCGCCACGTTAGCATTCTTGTCTCAGCCTCCTGTGTGTCCGTTCGTTAAGAATGTGAGCCGGACTGACTTGAAGCTGTGCCTGTGTGTCTCCTGTCTGGCCCGCCATGGTGTTGTCGGCAGTGTGAGGGAAGATGGAGCTGGAAGCGCCGGGAGCCGCTCAGCCGACGCCGACAGCCACGCCGATCCCGGAGCCCCTCCCCCGCTCCCCACAGGCCGAGCTGCCAGACGGGTCGCCCGGACGCAGCGGGACCGTCAGTGACGGCCACGGCAAGGACACTGCCACCCTGAGTACCCACAAAGACGAAAAGAAGGTAAGCAGCCTTTTTTTTTTTTTTTTTACTGTCCTCTGGGGGGAAAAGCGTGTGAGAGGGTCAATACTTACACTTTGGTAAATGTAATGTGGGCAAGGAGGTTGGGCCAGTGTGCTGTTTCAGCCAACACAGCAAAGATGTCCATTCCTCCTCTCCTCTCCTCTCTCCCTTGCTTTGTCTCTCTATCCGATAACCTGCTCTACCTTCTTCCTCTCCTTCTCAGCCTTAGCCTTTAGCCTAACCTTCATTTGCTCTCATTCTTCTCTCTCTCTTTTTTTCTCTCTCTATCCCTTTCTTCCTTTGTTTCTTCTCAGTATGTTATGAGAAGTGCTGCTGGCTCTGTGTTCTATAGCAGTCCCAGCTGCTGCCGCTGTCAGACTGTACAAAGTGTCCTGTAGTTGCAGATGAATGCAGGACACAGAAAGCTTCCTGCTGTCAGATACGTGAGCAGTACTCACAGCGACACGCAGCCCACGGTCAAAGATGCACAATGTCCTGCAACCAGAGATGGACACAGAATCAATAGAGAAATCCACCTGCAGTCAAAAGTGCATGCTTTGCACTGAATGCAGATCTGCATGCAGTATGGGTAGAGCCATGTGGCCTGCAACAAGGAGAGCATGCAGAGTTGTATCCACAGGGACAGCAAGGTTACAGGAGTTGTCTAAGGGTTTGGGTTACTGGGTGTTACGCATGAGCTCTTTTTATGTTTAAGTACTTTATAAATATGTAGTATATATTAATTGTGTATAGCTCAGTTTTATAATGTATCATGGAGAATGAACAGACGACTTTTCTAGTTGTTGTGGAATTATTCACATTTGTTTCCCTGACTTGCAAAATAGATGAAAAGCTGATGACCTTTGATGACCTTGCTGTTTAGCATGTGTGGAATTTTGATAATGGACATTTTGTGGTGGACTTCCCTGTCACAGCAGTGACTGAACTGCATCCTCCAATCACTGATGGCCAAAACATTACCCAGTGTTATGTAATAATATATTCCAAAGTTGTTAGCAGCTTTGTAGCTTGGTAGCTGGCTACAAGACAAGGTAGTGAAGGTTACAGCCAACTGTCAGCAACTTGATGAGTGTAGTGCGGGTGATGTAGTTAACTGAAGTTAGCATGATGCGCCAGTGGCTTTTTTTTTGTTTGCCATCCTGAAACAGTTTTTTGGTTGCTGCAGGAGCAGCAGCAGCTACATCCTCCTAAACACTTCTAGTTACCAGTTCATACGTTTATATGTCTAGATACACTACCTTGTTTCTGATATCCACAACATGAATCTCTTTCCCACTGCTTTCTAACTCAAGTTTAATTAGCCGTTTTAACACTGTCTCGCTAGCTTGCTGCTAGGAAGTATATTAGCCATGCAAGCAAGCTATCATCAGCTTAGCAGACTTTAAATCCCAAGTGATTAATGAATTTTCAATAAAGACATATCCAGGCAAACCAGTGGTGCCTTCAATCACATTTATGCTTGCGAGTAGCATTTCCTAAGGGGAACTGTACTCAGAGTGGAAACCATAATGCAGGGAGATATGTGAAAGTAGTTATTTTCTGTTTTGCAATTTGAATGAAATCTACTTTTTGAGCATGGTATCAGAAAGCTTGATGAACTGGCCTGAAGGATTCAGCAGATACCGGATGGTAAGTGGACCAGAGGGAGTGTCGGGCCCTAACACTGAGCGTGTTGTTTTCCAGACACTGAATATGAGCTTGTAAACTCATGAAAAGGGAAAATTTAGTCTCTCTCCCTTGTGTGTTATTGCACTGCCTTAGATCTGTTAGCCTAGGCAGCAGTAATAGGTGGAAATGTAAAGTGCTGCTCTAGGGTTTAGTGTTTCACATACACAGCTAAGCTTGAACTATGCTGGGGGATGGAGTCAAATCAGACAGATACACATTACTCTCCCCAGAAACCATTTATAATACCAACCAGCACTGCTCACCGCGTACATGAATAGGGAGTACAGAATAACGCAGCCGAGTCTCATTATGATGACCTCTGATACAGCATATTTTGGCAAAGTACACCAGGCCCTTTCTTAAATTTGTGTAAAAAATAGTTTTAAAAAAATACTTAAAATTGCTGCAGTGTTGCTCTATTACCAGTCTCACCAGACACACCCATAGAGTTCAGGACAGCGAAAGGACGTCCTGCCACCTCTGTAAGAACAAGTAACAAATATCCCCTAAAAGTTTCTGCTGTCCCTGAAGGAACAACCCCCCTTTTTCTCTTGTGTCCTGTGAGCTGTGTAGACCTAAATAGTTTCGGTTGAGGCCATATATTTGAAAGGGTCCTCTCTCCTTGAAAAATCCTTGAAAGTCCTAAAATGTAGGGAAATAACTGCTCTGACTGTAGCACTTCAACCACTTGAATGTTTTGTGGGTAGATTTTGCAGATCCTGTTTTTAAAATGTTCATATTATATTTTCTATAAATTATGCTAATTGGAAACTGTATGACAATCAACATTCACCTAAAATTGAAATGGTTGAAAGAGGGAATCATGGGACAGAATTCATTTTCAGGGATGTTGATGCTTCTTTACTCTTTCTTTATTGATGGAGTACTCACTAGAGCCTAGTGTACAGTTTTTAAGGGTCCCTTAAATTTTGTGGATCAACACTTCAAAGGAATGTGGTATAAGTAAGTGTTGTGATTCTGATCTTAATCATTCCAAGTGGTCAAACACAAGATCAGTAATGGATTGCTTTGACCAGTATTCAAATTGTATGCTTAAGATAAAATCGTAAAAAGTCTGTCTTATTAATATTAATGATGGACAGCCCAATAACCCTGCTTTAAACAACAGATAATTCACTCATATTCATTTTCCTGCCTGAAAGTGTGAGTGAATGCAGATTTAGCTGCAGTGAGTCATTCTTCAGAGAGAACTTGAGTTTCATTAATTTCCTATAAAAGGGAGGGGGGCGGGGTGAGGAGAAAGGGTTGTGATTATTGCATCTGGGGAGCCAAAGAATATTATGCATTTACTGGAAATGTGCATCCTGTTAATTTTACATTACATTGTGTTTCGCTGAAATAAGGAACATTCGTCTGAAGCTGCAAGATAATGAGGGGTAGGCCAGGCCTTTCAGCCCGTCTGGGCTCACCAATTACTGAATCTATACAGAATCCAACCGTGTGGATTTAAACCAAGTCTGGACTTAAACATAACTTCAGAGTTAGGGCTTTTCCGGGATTTGAACCCTGGACCTTTCGCATCCGGAGTAATCATACCCCTAGACCAACCAGGCCACATCTGGTTCTTATATATATGATTATATTGAAGGATTTGATTTGTACAAAATCAGTATATTAGATTGTCCTGTTAAACACATTCCAGTTTCCCAATTCACCACCTTTCTCTCCTTTTTCGTGTTATCTGTTGTGAAGTGTGGACAAAGTTTGGACCCAAACTTTTAATTTCCCCTGGACTGTGAAGACGAGAACAGAGAAGATTCTTCACTGCTGTCTGGAGAGTTTATGCAGCTCTCCTCACATGGATTCTGGTTTCTGTCATGAAAAGACTGTTAGTCTAGCATGCCCTAGCTGGTCTTGTGTTGTAAGGAACACTAATTAGTCCCCAAGAATCACCCATTCCGGGCAGTCTGGGTCCATCAAAGTGATGTGAAATGGCTTTAAGACTTAATTTGTCAGAATTCCAAACTCAGTGGTGTTCTTTGTTTAGACACGCCCTGGTACTTTTTACACTTGTCCCGAAGTCAGGGTTCAACCCAAGGACTTGCTTATGGGCTAAATGAGATTCAAGTTAATGGGGGGAAAACATGCATGGAAAATATTTGTGTTCTGTTGCTAGCAATATTAGTTGTGGCAGACTGTTTAAATTAACGATGCACTCCGCAATAAGAAGTCAGGGTACATAATGAGATTTTATGCAGTCTCAAGATCCGTGAGTTTTTTCAAGTGTGTCTGTGTTTTTGTTATTTTTTAATTTTTGCAGATTTTTTTCCCCCTCCTGGCAGTTGCGGTATTCACAATGTCACTAATTTTATGTTTGATGTAATTTTGTGCTCTTTGATTTCTTCTTTAATTGAACAGCAGAATTTTGAGCAGTCAGAGATTCTATGTATTGATCATCCTGCTGTAATCACAAAGGTAGGGTGTAATGAGCTGTGGAGGCGGACTGGGTGGGGGGGGGTTGGGTCTTACACACTGCACTTTAATGGGGATAGTTTTCCTTTAACGTTGCCACGGTGATTAATGGAGAGTGGTCAGTACATTAACTTTCCGCGGGCCCTTTCGCGGCTCTCACACCGCAGGTTAATTGAGGACCTCCTCGAAAATTGGTCTCCCGTCATGAGCTGGCGGACCGACCTGGCGCGTCGGTCCCTGTTGAAGTCTGGGTCACATGGTTTGCATGGCGTTGGAAAGGGGGCTTGTAATTTATTCCAGGTTTGCGCCGAAGTCCATACTTCACACGCAACCCCCATGTGCGGCTCAATCGATTAAACCTGTCGGTTAATTTATCAGGTGTCAGAAATGCCAGCAGGAGCCTGATAGCACATACTAACGGAAGCACGATGCTGTGGACTTGGTTTTAGCATATACCTTGCATCCCCAAATCATTTGGAGAGCTTACCTTCATGATTTTCCCCTGCAGTCTGTTTGTTGTTCATTTAATTTAACTAGACTAAAGTACCTCACCGAAGCATTCATCTGGTACATCACATAGTGCGTACAATATGAACCCACAACGCTTATGTTCAAAAGGTAGAGCTCTATTCATAAGTGTGATTTCCTGAAAACATTCTGCACACGTTTACTGTTGTTAACAGCAAATCTCTGAACTCAGCTTTCACATGGTAATGGGCCAGAGAGTGCAGCAGGACTTTACATTAGTCTGTTTTATGTACTGGAGAATGACTGTGGGAAGGGAGTAGTGCTATAATATGCAGTATTGTCTAGTTCAGCCTTTTGATGTATTTGGTCAACATTTCTTTTTTTTACTTTAAATAATGATACTTGCTGGAGCAGCTTTTACCTTTTTGCTTTTAGTATATGACTACCAAAACAAGCCAACAATTAATTCATAATTTATTAATTTAGCTACGTTTTACAGTTTTTATACTTGTAGAACCACAGTTCTCTTTCTGTTGTCTTCCACTTTACCCATATTTAGAAAGTATAATCTTGGTTAACTTTTATAGCAGTCTGATGGCATTTGGATCCCAAACGGAAGGAGACATTAGAAGAAATCTTTCACTGTATGAATACTTTCTGTATGAATACCAGAACTGAAGGGGTTACTGTTTTATCATTCTGGAATAAAGTCTACTTAGATTGATGTCACAGTGTATAAAAACTGACATGCGATGCTTGATTGTTACGGTTTATAATTGTACAGCAAGTGAAATTGTTTTTTGTTTGGAGGTCTTCCAGGCTGCTTAGTAATGGGTTTTTTTCAACGCTTAATTGTAAGTGCAAAAACTTGAAGGGACTTTACAGCAATTTGCTCCTTCTCATTTTAAAAGGGTTGACACAATGGTATTTTCTATTCCGGGCTCTGCCGTCCGCATTAATGTACACGAGGAAGACTTGTGCATACCGCGCCTTGCAAAATTATGTGCCTGATTTTGAAAAAAAAAAAAGAGAGAATTCTGTGGTAATTGGTTTCATGACAGTAGAATAACCTATGACCGTTTCACTTGCATTGGAAGCGAAATTGGAAACTGAACAAAATACATTCAAATGTGCTGAATCTGCTATTTCCGTAATTATGCTAGCTCCCATATTTACAGTACAGAATGTCAGTGGAACTTATGCAATTCCTCTTTTTTCTTTCTCTCTCTCTCAGTAATGTTAATTTGTCAGTAAAATAGCCAGCAGTTTCCAAATAATATTTGACTTTCATTACAGCACTTTTATTCTTTTTTTTTCTGCACAAGGGATGTCTTGGAAAAGAACAGTAAAAAAAAGGTTGTAGATGGCCAACAGGAGGTTGTTATTTTTAAAAAATGAGATGTGGGACTGGCTGGGATTGCTAGAAACAGACATACAGCTCACCTCTGTTGCAGAAAAATAAACCAAAGGAATTCCCATACTGTATCCAGGGCAAATCAAGACTTTACATTTACACACACAGGTGACTGGGATGAGATATAATCCCTAATGAAGAATAATGCGCAAAGGTATGAACAGAAAGCAAGAGCAGAACAGAGCCGCTGAAGGATGCTGCTGTTAAAATAGTAGGAAGTGGGAGGCATGATGCATATAATACTGTACAGGATAACACAGTGTAATAATGGTGTGTGCGCGTGTGTGTGCGTGCGTGCGTGTGTGTGCGTGCATTGCATATTTGTGTGTGTGCACACGAGTGTGTGTGTGTTGCCCTATGTGCTAGCATGGACATGTGCTGCCTGGGACTGCATGTAAATGAGAGACTGTCAGTTTACTAATGCAGTTTCTGTCATCTTTTTTCTGTTAAGAGTAATTACTGTAGTTCCAGTAAAATCAAAACTAGTCCCCCAATAATCATGACTTTAAAATATGCCAATGCAAATTCAGATAGCTGTTAGTATCAGCATTTCAGCTCTGAAATGTTGCATACAAAAGCTTTGAAGTGTTGCCCTGACATCTAGAGCCTGGTTTAAATTGAATCACCAAAAAAGATGATGTAGATAAGATCATGTGTTCAGCAAAATTGACTCTTATCGACATAAATGTAACTTACTATATATCCAGCGGCGGTGATTTCTTGTGCTCTGAAGATTTCGTTTATATGGCCATTTCAGCTGAAGTGGCCCCCCCCCCCCGTTCAGATTACTATACCACTAGGCTCTATTAATAGCATAATAGCCTTGTGTTATTTTTTCCCCTCACTTTTGAAGAACTCGGGCCTGCCTTTCTGCCAAGGCCTGATCGATTTTCCCCCATCCCCCCCACCTCCTCCACCCCCGCCCCCCTCCTGTGCTACAGAGGAGGACTCCCAGCACACCTCTGCTCTCAAATGCACCGTTTAGCTTCCAATATCCCCCCACAGTCCATTAATGCCGGATAGTGTGCTCCAGCACCATGTAGTGTTGTAAACTTAAAAACCTTGTATGGATTCTTTCTGTATCTCTGTTATCATTTGGTAGTGGGGGGGGTGAGTTGGTCTCTTACTGGTACACTCTAGATATTTGTGTATCTAAGCGATGGGACAAGACCAGAGCATATCCCAAGGGCATGGGAGGAGGTCCGAGGACCATGAGCCCTGCATGGAGCAACATCTCTGTATGCCAGTTATGCACTGCTAATCAGTGACTATTAAATCTGATTATTACTTCGCCTGCCACTGTGTGCCTCTATGGAAATTCTAACAACGGCTATTAACTTCCATCTTCATAAGCTCCATAAAGTCTATAAATTCCCATATTCATATGATTGAAGTCATATTGTGTGAGGTTTTCACAGTAAAAATGATAAGCAGTATAGGCAGTGCTGGAGTATGCAAACAGACATGTAGGAGTTGACTGACACTTGGCTCGATCTAACATTTCTACCTGTAGCAACCCCCCCAAAGCTCCTTGTTGTATTTTTAAGACAACGCTATTTTCGGCTGTAGTCTATTTCTACCAGCTTTACTCTCCCAGGGAATCAATCAATCAATACAAGTGAACAGACACTGTAAGGGGGAATGATGGCTTAAGGGAGAAGCAGGCTCCATAAGGGGTGTGAGCAGACACTGTAGGGCCTGAGAAGAATACAGTAAGGGCAAGGTGGACACTGTAAGGGGTGAGCAGACAGCGTGAGACGTATGAGCTGATTGATTTGACAGATGCTCCTGTTTTACGTGCAGCCAGCAAACCTTCAGTGTCATAATTCATCTGGTTCAGGAGTCCTTGGAAGAGGAATATATCCAGTGTTATGAGGAAAAAAAAACCTACCACAGCAGAATGCCATCGATTTACATTTCTCCTGCAACAAACCACTGTTTCCCAAAGAGCTGCTTGCTGCAGTAATATATGTTGCATAGCTTCCAGATGGCTTAAGTGCCATTTTGGGGCTGGCAGTGACAAAAAATGACCACTGAAGCAAAAATATGAAAAAATAAATGAGTACTAGGGTTTTTTTTTTTTTTTTTTTAACTAATTAAACATGAAAAATACCCACACACACACACACTCACTCTCCCTCTCTGTCCCCACAGCTGTCCCAGCTCTGCTGTCTAAAAAAAACTGCCTTAAATACCCTCCTCCAGGCAGGTTATGTCTCCTGGACGACACAAAGAGAAATGGACAAAAGGCCCTTCATA